TTACAATGGTAATACGAATACTACTACTAATAATAATAATCAGTAATTTAATTCATTCAAAATGTGATCAATGTTTTATTTGTTTTATTGAATAAATATTTAGTTAATAATTGACTAATAAGGTATTTCAATTTCATTAATTAATAACAATTGCCATTAAGTACTATAAAAAAAGTGTAATTGTTCAACATGCTAAGTATACAATCTTATTGAATAACTCGTTTAAATATTTACATGAATGCTTTGATTGATCAAGGAACCAGTTCAACAACAAAAAAACAGATCATTATAAGCTGTTAGCTGGAAATAGATTGGATGAAAGCATGCTCAATGTACGATTGCTTTGGTGCAAGCTGATTGGATAGGAATTAGCCAATCAGCGCTAACCGATACTTGGAGAACACTCTAGAATCTTCTCATGTAAAAACTATAATTATACTAACGTATCTCTTATTGTGTTTCTTACTTCCATCTAACCTTGTTAGTATGAATATAATCTCTTTCCTGTTTAACCGTGTTCTGATTTGGGGACTTTTCGAGAATAATAAGCAATAGAAATAGCTGGGTTCTAATAAGAAAGAATTATAACATAATCAGAGATAGATGATGAGAAGTAGTGGAATCCAGGACTCGTCCCATTTGGGACTCATTAGTTGGATGTACCTGCATCTCATATATGATTTCCACTCTGGGACTTGAACTGAGAACCGTTCGCCTCAAACGCCATCAAGTTATCCACTGAGCTACTGAAACCAGATAGTTACTAGCTTGTTCAGTGGAGTGAAGTATTAATTCATTTCTGCATTGGTTGTTTGAGAAACTGATCAATGGCAGTTCTAAATATCAATGGAAAGATTCAAACAACCAATACTAAAATGAATATAGACAGATCACTTTCCAGAGAAATCATTTACAATGTCATAATAATAGTCTGTAATGTAGTCTGATAGCAGTGATCTTAACTTCTTAAATATAACAACAGAAGGATTAAGATAAAGAGAATGTACAAACTTCTTGTAGAATATTTAAAAATAGTAGAATATCTGAGCGAACAGCTGTCTGGGGATCATTTTTTTTTCAAATCCTCAGATATTCTTGTTTCATTTCCTCACCATTTTTTCTCTTTCAAGCTCTGATCATCACACAGAGGGCAGGTAGCAAACCGTCAGCTATAGTTGTGGGAGAAATTAAATGCCACAAAGTTAGATAACAAGTTAGTAAATGAAAAGACATTCATGAACTATCGTTGATTGCTGACGGAGTTAGTCGTCATCTATTGGAAGTCAAAAACTGAGCGAGTTGGTAATTCTCCCTTGGGTTGTGGAAACAGAACGTAGGAGTTCTTAATAGATAGGTTAACTGAACCGACGTTCCTACGGAAGTCAATTCTATAGGGAAGCTAATGTAACAGCTTAGGTTGATTGGTTAAGAGTTGACATCAAGCAATTAAGTATATGTCAAAACACTAGAGTTTAAGTGTTCATTCACTTCCTAAACATAAATCATGATTAAGAACTCAATAATTAGTCAAGAATTCCTTGTCAAATCTTTGATTAATTTTTGAAGTAACAGATTTTAAGTAAAGTTTGAACTATGAAACATGTTTTTCGTTCTTTTCATTATATAATATTTTGGTAGTATGTAACTTAGATTCTATGCAAAAATGGTTTCCATGAAAAGTAGAATTACTTTTAAATCATGATATTTATATCCAATAGTCCAGATTTTTAACTTCTGGCACTTAAGATAAAAAGTGTTGTCTTTATTACAAGTTCTGTACCGTTGGAAATCATGGGGAGGGGGCAGGACAAAACACCTAGCCTCTATTGCATGGTTTCCAACAGTTGTTTTGAGAATAATATTAGTTTATCATGAAATTGTCGTTTAATTAAACTATCATCAGGTAATTTATAATAAGTTCAATATCAAGCTTAAACTATTCTTAACGTTCTCATTGGAAAACAATACAAAAATTACATAAAAATCTTTTGAAAACCAGTTAATTGACATAGTAGCAATAACAGTGTATTGCGCCAATGACAATACCTACTTCGGTTTGGGCACCCGGGCAGTATCTCAACCCTTGCATAAATCGGATTATTTATGTGGTCCATATCTATTCGGTGCCTCCTTATGCCAATGTGAAATATCCACATAAGTAGTATATAATGATAGTCAGGAACAGAATGTACTTCAGTAGAAGATCGAGAAGGAAAGAACGGGAACGAAAAGTAATTGGTATGAAAATGCAGGAACAATAAAATCTGAGGCGATGTACTAATATTTGCAAAAGAAACAGTCAAGTTTAAGACAATGAATTGAGATTTTGCAAATGAAGTATTTGCTGTATTGTTCTCAGATTTTAATAAGACATTCTATAATTTTGTGCTCAAATACATTCAATCGTCCCCACTTGTGTTCTTGTTCACTACAGTATTTATATACTTATCCATGGAACCTTCTAGTATGAGATTGATCATAAATGGCATGAAACAGCGATTAATTTGTAATTAGTCAGTTGTTTTATGTTATATGTACATAGAAATGTACTAAGCTTAAAAAACAAGACATATTCATAAGATTCAACTGATGATTATATACAACAATTGATATTCATAACTCATTAAGTCATAATAAATAGATTCTTATTAAAATCTAAGTTAACGACGATCATTTCAAGAACTATTCGTGGAAGAATTAACTTTAATATACTTCCGAATCTCTCTATTTTAAATTCAGAAATATGAAAATATATCGTTACGTAAAGAAAGTTTTGACAGATATTTATTATAAATGATTTTGAAGAAAAAACAAATCTCTTTATATTTTTGTAACTTATCAATATCAGAAGGGGTTTCGCGGATATTATAGTAATTTTAATAGGTGAAATCATGAGTTAATTGAAGCTAGACCACCTGGAAGCACTGGACGGCCGTTTTGTCTTATTGTGGGAATTTTCAGCAGTGCTCATCCACGATCCCGCCTCACGAGATCCGAAACCAGAACCCAACAGTCTCGCGCGCGTGTGCTTAACCATTAGACTATTGAGCCAGTATCTAACGGTGTTAATGTCTAACTTCAACTAATCCATAGAACTGATTGATAATTTTATTCATCAGAAGTTTAAAGACAAGATTATCCTATTGGTTCCATGCATAAGTTCATAAAAAGATTTTCTGTGCCCCTACTGTTTCACTGCGTATTCGCTTGAAGTTTATAGGCTTAAGAAAGGTTGTCCTATTGATATTGAGTGCTTTCAGTATAGATTAGCAAACTGTAAGAAATCATACAAAGGGAACTTCAGTAAATTATTTTGTGTAGATCTAAAGTAGACAATATTTTCAACAAACCCTTTACCCCTATGAATGAGAAAAACAGGAGAATTATTCTCTATTATCGTGATGCTCCTAAACGTAACAACATCGTGTTGTGCTGAAAATGCACTAAGAAAGATAGTTTATTAATATTTTCTGACTCCATAGAAAACGAATACCTAAAATGTTGGTGACAGTACTGTTGAAAATCCCTACTTACGCAGCGACCCCAAAACAAATGAAATCACAAGTCTAGAATGACAGGATTCAGAGGTATATTTGAATAATAGGTGAATGTGGCGTACTGTATGCAATCTAAGAAAGGGTCATCCTACTGATTCCATATATAAGTGCATAAAATACACTGTCTTCACCGTAGCTACATGTCTCAGCTATGTACATATCACTCATGAAACGCAATCATAATAATAAGCTATCATAATAGATATTGGCAGAAAAGAGTTTTTGATCTAAACATTTTATTTTTGAAAAATTAAGAATACAAAGTTTATAGTATCCAAACCCATGTTTTACATGAAATGAAACTTACCTAATTCAGCCGTACTCATTACTTACTACCTAAACAAAAATGATGATCATTTAATGGGATAATTTAGAAATTTCTATTCGAAAATGGTTTATTTACATCCTTTTACTATAATGAAGTTAATTTCATAACATTTCAGTCCGAAATCTGATACTGATACACAACGTGCTACCACACTAACCTCCTACCTCATTATTTGAATGAGAACACAAGAGTGAGAGAGAAAGTATATTGGATTATTAAATAAAATACACAAATACTCATTTATATATACACAACTCTACTACTTAAGAAATCAATTCACTTTTTTAGCCAATTAAGTGCACTTGTCCTTCAGGTCATTTCTGATTGTCAACGATTGACTATCTCAATCGTCTACTTCTGATCGAATCACCATATCATTTTAGATGAACAGATGTTCAGCATAGAATGAACCACACTCAAAGTGAAAAGGCAGTTAATTTATCGACCACAATAAATGAAAATCGTTAACTAATATTGTGTTCACCTTAAAACATGAGTATTTACGTTTCTATTCCGTTTGATATTATCATGCATAATGTAATGTGATTTTAAGCTTAAATAAAACATCTAAACCCTAGGCATAATTCACAGAAACAAAAATATAAGCCTATTCATTGACAAAATGAGTTATGTAGGTTTAAATAACAAACTGACTTTGGTTAGATAACCAGTAAACATTAGGGATCAAAAGACAAGTATTCCATAGTAATACAGAACTTCTCTTAGTTAAAAACAGTGATAAGCGGAGTTCAGTCAACTTGAGGATGTGATAAATATCCCCAGTGGCAATCGATGAAAGTTGTGGAATATCATGGATTGATAGTAGGTACAAGTGTAAAGTATTTAATCCCAGTACAGTGATCTAAAAAAGATACGCTCACAGAAAGGACAGAAGATCCAGAACTTGATTCCTTGTGGGTTAGTGAATGCGCACTTCTGTGGAGTACCATTTTAGGTAAGCTAGTTGTCCAGTGTTTCCCAGTCATCGAAATTTCCCTAATTTATTCACATTGTGGTGCGAATTACAAAATTCAACAATCTTCACGACCCTCTAGACTAGAAAACAGTAATTGTTGTCAAGTAAATGAAAAAATCTTTTTTTCTTACACTCATACCTAGTTGATTGTTGAATAACTTGACGAAGAAACTCCAGTGTGTACTGAGCATTTCCAATTTCTTGTAATATATCGCCATCTTCAACGTTTTCTTCGAGTACAGACACAGCAGGACCAATATTTTCAACCTAAAAAAATGGAAATATGTAAAAATTTTGTTCCAATACATTAAATTTAACTGGTTTAATTATTTCAAGCACCCTAGACACATAAAATAGTTAGTAAGTTTTAAGATGCACTAAAACACTCCAGTATTTTACTATTATGTACATGAAGAAGAATCAAAATGTTTGTCGGATTACGTATAGTCAGTCAGTCAGTATCAACACAGAACTTCGTACGTACGTACATCAGTCCGAGTTGCCATACCACATTAGCACATAGATACGATTGTCGATTCGAATCCCACAGTGGTAGAGGTAGTAAGAGTATAAGCACTAACCGGAAAGATTAGGGTTTGAAGATGTTATTCAATCGGATTACGAATAAGAGGTTATTGTATTGTCTTCTTGATGCCCTACTGAATATTTAATGTTTCAGACTTGATGTATTCATTGCTTTACATATAAACTGTGAGTTTGTTTACAAATAATTCAAGATGATAATGGTGCGGATTAAAAAATTTGACTACGCAACATTCTGAATATTCTGTCTTATAATTAATTTCATTGAAGGATTAATATTGGTAATAGTGTGTGCTAACTGCGTCTGGAGCCCTTTTAGGGTTACTGTCCGTCCTCAGGTAGAATAGAGGGGTTGGGCATAGGGTTACAAACCCTGTCCCGTAAAAAAGAACATAGGCAGACAAACGCTAGCTAGGTTTAAGCGTTCGCGCGCCATACCGAAAGCCCTGGGTTTCGAATACCGCGAACGGGATCATGGACGTGCACTGCTGAGGAGTCCCACAATAAGACGAAACGGTCGTCCAGTGCTTCCAGGTTTTCAGTGGTTGTCTAACATCAATCTGTTTATGATCTCAATCAAAGGCTTAATAGCCTCCACAACCCCATACTGATAACTAGAAAATAGTTTGTGCGAAACTTTTAGACGGAACAATAACACCTGACTATACAATACAGCAAATACCGTTTTTGATCGATGGAACGGATAACTTATAAGTCTTATTGGTATAAAAAGTATGTGAAGATAATTCCAGATAGCATAAAGTATTTTAACATCGAATGAAATCTCATACCTGTAAGCATTGTTAAATATTATAAATCATGATATTTCAGTTGGTCATACAAAAACACAGTTAAATGGAAAAATATATTTTTATTATGAGTATATGAAATATTGTTTGATCTGAACTGTGATAAGATGGTGGTTGGAAGTAGTCAACAGGAAACCCTGGACCTAGGTTTCGTGCTATTTGGCACTCGTCAGCAAGGTGTATCTGTAATCTTAAGGGGATTAATGCTCCTTGACGGACTCAAACCCGTGTCACCCAGCTCCACATTTAAAGATATTACCAGTGAACTGTCTAGGTCGCGACTCACCTCCTGTAGGGCTTAGATGTATTTACAATTGGTTGATCACTGGTATCTGACATACATGAGATTGATCATCACCCAGTGATCAATCAATCGTAAAAGATCTGAACTGTGGACAATAGACGATTCCTTACTATAACCAAATTATTAACGTAAAATCTTGAAATGAACACGTATGGAACGACAAAGTAACTACTACATGTGTACACAATAGACATGACGATGTCATAAAAGTTTTAAGGGACTCAGATTTCTTTATACATTCTTCTTTCGTTCTGAAGTGATCAGTTAATTTGCCACTGTTAACACCCAACTGACACTGTATAAATTCAATTAGGCCAACTGTCTTTTGCAAAGCTGAGGACACGTGGAGGAAATGTAGTGTTTTTTTCGTGTTCTGGTACTGCAATGGCATCACAGAGAGAGAGAGAGAGAGTAGAAATTATATAACTTGCTTCACTTAATGTAAAACAGTCTCAAATCTCAGACCTTATATCATCACCAAATGAATTACAATAGACGGAATCAAAGATAATTAGAACTTCAAAGTTAACTTATTATAATTATACTAGGCGTTAAATTTCAAAAACGCTCATATATGAAGGAAGCCTAAAAAACAACTACATTTCTCCATATTGATATACTCTCATGCAATTCTGTTCCTTATAAGTCATTAAGCTATAGATTGTTTGTGGTTATAATTCTTTTCTTTGATTTTTAATCACTATGAGCTGAATAAATTGCCCATGAAGTAATCATATAAAACCTAATAGAGTATTTACAATTGATTAGCTTCAAAATGAACTCTTGAAGTTATAGTTAGTAATCATGATCGATCCAGTTCACTACGATGAGACGCTTCTAACCGGTGGGATTGTCTAAAAGTTGAATTATTTTCCGAATTGAATATGGCTAGAATTTTGAATTCATGAACTTCTACTTATTATATTAATCATGATGAAATCACCATAAAAATATGAGTGTCACAATTCTAATCCCATTTAAGGTAATAAATAAGGATTGTTGAAGACACCTAAATGTAGTACTTTCTTATTGTTCTTCACTCAATTTCAGTTCGTGACAAAAAGGATCTTGAAACGGAACTTTATAATAAGACAGTTGAAGAAATGAAATGAACTATGTAGCATATAGATTAAGAGTACTTAGATCTATTCTATTTCCATACTGAATAGTCCGCTGAAATTTAATCAAATCATTATTTTCACTATTTATTAAGAATATTTAATATAAAACTGTAAACTCAGTTTGTCAGATGTTTTTTGTTATGTTAGTGAAGTATTAATTCACAATAGTTGTCAAGGCTAAAACATACTTGAGTTTGTGAACAGCAGCTGCAATTCATCAGTTGTTACTATTGGTTCAAAATTTATCACTACTTATCACAAATGATGCTTCGTTTCATTCGATTCAATATACAAATTACTGTTTCTTTGAGTAAAACTCCGACAGATATATACATATATATACACAACCATCGTTATACTTTTGCCATCTAGAAAGAAGTGAAAATTAGTCGACAATTAAGTACAGAATTAAAGAGTTAGCTTGAAAAAGTCGCAATGCGTTCAAACATTACATCGAATGATTTTAAATGATAAGTAAAATCAGATATGGAAAGTCAATCTAGTAGAAGATGATTGAGAAAGTCAATCGTTGACAATCAGAAATGACCTGAAAGACAAGTGCACTTAATTGGTTAAAAAAGTGAATTGATTTCTTAAATAGTAGAGTTGTGTATATATAAATGAGTATTTGTGTATTTTATTTAATAATCCAATATACTTTCTCTTTCACTCTTGTGTTCTCATTCAAGTAGTCAGGTAGGGGGTTAGTATAGTAGTATATCGTGTATCAGTATTAGATTTCGGACACCAACCATCACAACAAACTCCCCCCTTATAATATTTGTGTTTGTTTCGTTTTTTTCAAAGCTTGATCAACAGTATGTGCTTAATTTGAGAGAGTCTGGTGAAATTGTCATGAAACTTTCAAGTAGATCATTTTAATAAGTAAGTTATTTGAATCCTTGAAATCGCTTCATCCTAAATCTAAATAATGAAAGACATAATTATAAGAAATGTATCATTCAATCCATCTAAAGGGAAGACATTTAATAGTTATATATATGGTATACCTTAATGTAAACTTTCATTCATAGATTTAACTTAAAATACAATTAGGTACCATTCAAAAATCATAGCTCAAAGCTTAGTAGAAAAACATGTAGTTGGTGAATGAATTCCATATAACGTTTTCTTTTCAAATTAAAATAGCACTTTTATTCCCAAATTCATAATTTATTATGAAATAGACTTCAGTTTGTACCCGTGTGGTGTGTGCTACTACTGATGTCCATAAATATAAGTAGCATGTATCGTCAAACGAAAGTGAAATACCTGGTGGCAGAAGGTTAAGAAGATTGAAGAGAAGAGAAAAGGACGAGAACAGACAGTGATTGGTGTGGAAACAAACGAGCAATGAAGTCTGAGACGATTGATTTAATGTAAGGTTCTCTGGTTTTATTAAGATTCTGTAATTTCATGTTAACATATATTCGATTGTCCCCATTTAGTGTTCTCGTTCACTACACCAGTAAATAGTAAAATGTTATTTCATATCTTATTACTTACAATATCCTTGAGTGAAAATGTACTTAACCTTAGATATATCAGACAACACATCATTTAACTAAGTATAAGGAGCGACAAATTTTTATCAACAACATATCTACTAAAATGGAAACACTAAGAAAATAGAAAAATCAGATATGAAGTGAGATACTTGAGACTTATCACGCTATTACTTTGCTTCCTTGTTCTCTGGTCTCGTTTCCTTTCTCGTCCTCGCTTGAGAATGAAAACATTAATGTTGTAAGTAAATTATATTGACTTAATATTATACTACATGTTTAGTCTTCCTGTAAGGTTAACACTTCAGACTTCATATCGGGAAAATACTTTGATTTGAATGCTCGATAGCTTTTGGGTGGTGTTTGATGAAAAAATATGAAAACGTCCTATAAATAGTTAGTGTCGTGAAATCCATTAGATTTTAGAATGTGGCCGTATCTTGGCTATACTTCAAACTGGTTACTACAGTTGAGCAATTATAACAGTTTTCTACAACAAACCTAATGCCTCTTAGATGTTTATGAGTCGTCTTGTAAACATTTTACTTCACACATTATTAATAGCTTTATCTTAAGTACCCAGTTTGAAGTATTCTAGAACTCATGTCTTTTTAGGTGTAAGCCTATTTCATCATTATTAAATACCAAGTCATATAAACCTGATCATATAAACAAAATTCTGTGCATACTGTTATATTCCGATGAGAATAATGAATGGTAACTGTTGGAATCTATTTCTGGACTAATGTTATACGTATATTTTTATCTTATAGTTGTTAAGTAACTAAACTATTCATATTCATGTTCCTATTATTATAAGCTTTATTTTGACCTATGAACTATTATTATACCATTTACCATTCTTGAATTATACCCAGTGTATCAATTTCTATCTCCCACATTCACAGCCACATTTGGCTAAATCTTGTACAAATGTTATTTTCTATTTTTACGGTGCGATGTAGTCTGTTTGGTTGGTATATAAACCCAGTATGTTTGAAATACATGATTGATATCGTGGAGGCTGAGATTGGTGTTCTAGACTTAACAGGCAGGGCTAGGCGAGAAGTCTGAACTACTCGTACGGGTTTTATGCGTCGTTGGTTCGGTCGATAAATCTCTGTTCTTTAATTGGCGGTATCATTACGTTATACATTTACAGGGGCACGAACCCACAAGTTATAACACATGTAATACTCATTTCCAGAAATATGTTATATTACTTAATCCGTGCAGTAAAACTTTATAACCTACATTCGCATTAATGAGTTAGAAAATAATAAAAAAATATGAATACTTTATGCGTGTTTGATAATCCAACACGATAATGTAAGTTAATTTAATGACTGGATGATTACTGATAAACAAAAACTTGGTAACGGTATATATAGTCTAGGCACCAGCCAATCAAAATCGATAAAGTTATTTTTAGATTTTTTGCATTTTTTTCTGGTTAGCGTTTTTTAGTTAGTTAGTTTTCTACAGGATGGGGTCGCTAACCCCATGCCCAACCCTCCTCCTTTATCCGGGCTTGGAACCGGCAGTAGCCTAAGAGGGGCTCCAGGCGGGTCGGAAATCTGATGACCTACGAAAGCCATCATCCCGAAGATACAACTGTTTATTAACAGTTGTCTAAGCGAAATATTTGGGATCCGTTGAACAGACACTATCAGCAATAATCTACTGTAGGAGAGAACAAACCAGATCGCAGCGAAGGAAGAAACCAGGAAAAAGCGCTGGAAGTGGATAGCATATACATTGAAGAAGGCACCCAACTGTATCACAAGGCAAGCTCTCGCATGGAATCCTCATGGTCAGAGGAAAAGGGGAAAACCAAAGAACACATTACGTCGAGAAATAGAGACAGATATGAAAAGAACGAACAAGAATTGAATGGAACTAGAAAAGAAGGCCCAGGACGGAGTGGGTTGGAGAATGCTGGTCGGCAGCGTATGCTCCATTGAAAGTAACAGGCGTAAGGACGATTTTTTTTCGAGAAATCCAAGTACCATTTTTTTGCCGTAAAGAACAGATGAGCCGACACTATCCATAAATTCTATCTCTAAACCCTTATATCTGACGAGACTATATGTTTTGGACAAACTGATTGAACAATGGCTTTTGGATTTTTTTTCTGCCAAGTTGATCTATATAGTTATACATAGTTTTCAAATTATAACTGATATCAGTTTGTGATAGAAATGTCAACTATTAACACTCCTTATGCTGAAATACTATCTCTGATCACGAGTTATATAACAATTCTGGAAAATCTCTTTCGGTCCTTTTTTAAGATTTGAGAATACAAATAATCTTTATCATTCAATGTGAATGTATATGTTATTATGCTTGTGTAATACAGGCAGATTAACCTACGGGAAACTTTGTTAGATTGATTTAATATGTAAACTTGTTTTACACTTAGTTACATTATTGATTTCATTTATTTAAAGATGTTTAGTAGCTGACTTATAACCAAATCTAATCCTCATAATATTCACTTATCAAATACTTTTGAATCTTTAAAAAATGAAATAATTAATTCATTTTTGTATTTCAGTAGTTGAAATCATGAGTCAATTGAAGCTAGACCACCATGGAAAACCTGGAAGCATTGGACGGCTGTTTCGTCCTAGCATGGGACTCCTCAGCAGTTCGCAACCGCAATCACCCCTCCCTGCGGGATTCGAGCCCAGCACCTATCAGTCTCGCGTCAGGCACTTAACCAAATAAACCACTGAGCCGGCATCCAATGGTGTTAATGTCTAACTTCAACCAATCCACTAAGTTGAGCCACCGCACACCATTGTCTTCAGTGAGTTCCTATCTCACAACAGACCTGGTCGAACTCCACTGGTAACGACTTCTCACTAGAAATTCAGGAGATACTCCTGAATTCAGTCACTAGTGAGCAGGTGATTATTATTATTATCAGAATGGGTTTCGTGGAGATTTTTAGAAATTTCACTGGTTGAAATCATGAGTCAATTGAAGCTAGACCACCATGGAAAACATAGTAGCACTGGACGACCGTTTCCTCCTAGTGTTCTACTCCTCAGCAGTGCGCATCCACGACAAAATGGCTGCCTAGTGCTTCCAGGTTTTCCATGGTGGTCTAGCTTCAAGTGACTCATGATTTCAACCAGTGAAATTTTTAAAAATCTCCACAAAACACATTTTTGTATTGTTTATTTGAATTTTCCTATTGATATTTAGGACTGCAGTTGATCAGTCTCTTATTGACATATGTGCATCCTATGAGGATTTTCTCAATATTGCCTTGAGTTACAAATATTATAAGCAAAGATAGAGAGTGATTAGCAGCCGAATCTAGGACTCGTGTTTCGTCCAATTTAGGGCTCGTCAGTCGGATGTATCTAGATCCAAGAGTTGATGTTCATTTCAGGATGCAATGGCGTTTTAAGCGAGCGTCACTACGTTCGAGTTCCGGAGTGAACACTAACCATGAGACCTAAATTGAATGAAATGTGTGTCTTGCATTCCACTTCTAGACATCATCTATCTTTTCTTATAAATAATTAATTAGTTTAAAATTATCAAATCTCATCGGTTAAATGATTGAGATTGTAAAATACTTATTGCCTTTTTATTGAAAATTGGAAATATTTTTAATTCTGACCATTAAAGATAATTTTGTTGTTTATTTAATTTGGAAAACTTATCATTACACTCTCATAGAATAATAATTAGTT